GTAACCCTGTCATAAAGTCCATTGAAATGCTATCCCATTTCTATTCTGGAACTTCTAACGGTTGCATCAACCCTGTAGGTTTATGATGTTCAACTTTCAACTTCTGACAAGTCAAACATGCATACACAAACCGAGCCACATCACTCTTCATTCCAGGCCAGCAAAACAAACCTTTCAAATCTTGATACATCTTCGTAGCTCCTGGATGAATACTCAACTTACTTCTATGACTCTCTTCAAGTATCACTTTCTTCATCTCAGCATCACCAGGAATACAAATTCGATTACGAAATCTCAACACACCTTGTGCATCTAGCTTAAAATCACTGTTCTCAGACTGATCGATTCCAACCATCGAATCTACCAGCTTCACATCCAACTTCTGAGCTTCTCTGATACTGTCTAGAAATTCATTATTAATGTTCAACATACCCAATATAACACTATGCGACGTAACCTTGCAAACTAAGCTCGTATCTCTAAACTGCTCAATTAATTCCAACTCTTTAACCATCATTGCCGACATATGTAAAGTCTTTCGACTCAACACATCGGCTACCACATTCGCTTTTCCTGGATGATAATTCAAACCGAAATCATAATCCTTTAACAATTCCAATCATCTTCTTTGCTTCATATTCAACTCCTTCTGATCTAATAAATACTTTAAGCACTCATGGTCACTAAAAACTTCAAATCTAGAACCATAAAGATACTTCCTCCAAATCTTCAACATAAAAACAACTGCAGCAAGCTCTAAATCATGTGTAGGATAGTTCTTCTCATGAGTCCTCAACTGCCTTGACACATAAGCAACTACCTTATCATTCTGCATAAGCACACCTCCTAAACCCATCTTAGAAGCATCACAATACACCACAAAAGGCTCTCCCGGATTAGGCAATGTCAAAATTGGAGCTGACGTCAACCTCTTCTTCAATTCTGTAAAACTTTCTTTGCACTGAACATCCCACACAAAAGCTATACCTTTACAAGTCAACTTAGTCAATGGAAGTGCCAACTTGGAAAAACCTTCGATAAACCTTCTATAATAACCAGCTAATCCCAAAAAGCTTCTAATCTCAGTAGCTGACCTCGGAGTTTCCCATTGCAGCAAAGCGTCAACCTCCGATGGATCTACAACAATGCCACCACCTGAGATCACATGACCAAGAAAAATTACCTCCTTTAACCAGAATTCACACTTGGACAACTTTGCATACAGCTTATTCTCTTTAAAAACTTGCAATACTACCCTTAAGTGTTCTGCATGTTCTTCTTCTGACTTAGAGTAAATCAAAATATCATCAATAAACACCACTACGAACCGATCCAAATAAGTATGAAAGATACGATTCATATATTCCATGAATACTCCTGGCGCATTAGTAACACCGAAAGGCATCACTGAATAATCATAGTGTCCATAACGCATTCTGAAAGTCGTCTTCTAGATATCTTCATCCTTCACCTTAATCTGATGGTAACCCGACCTCAAATCAATCTTACTAAACACACGAGCATCCACCAATTGGTCCATCAAGTCATCTATTCTTGGAAGCGGATACTTGTTCTTAATTTTCACTTTATTCAACTGTCTATAATCGACACAAAGCCTCATACTTCCATCTTTCTTCTTTACTAACAACACTGGAGAACCCCACGATGATACGCTTGGTCTTACAAACTTCTTTTCAAGTAACTCTTCCAACTGCTTCTTTAACTCGGACAATTCAGATGCAGACATCCTATATGGTGCCATAGACACAGGTCTAGTACCAGGTACAAGATTAATTGCAAATTCAACTTCCCTCTCTGGCGGTACATCTGGGATTTCATCGGGGAAAACTTCAGGAAATTCACACACCACATGAAATTCCTCAATTATAGCTTGAGTCTCTATAGATAGTGACGCCATCAACGAGAACATCTGTGCTTCCTCTTGCATTAACTTCCTCAACTATCTAGCAGACAACAGACTATCTTCCTCTTCTTCAGGAGTAGAAAACCTCACAGACTTGTCATAACAGTTAATATGAATGTAGTTATGCTCTAAGCAGTTCATACCCAAAATCACATCCAAACCTCTTAACAATAAACAAACCAAATCAACAGCAAAGTCTCTTTCGAAGATCAACAAGGGACACTTCAAACACACAAAAGAAGTAGTCACCGACCCCTTGGCCGGAGTCTCGACGACCATTTCTCCATTCAAAGAAGACAACATAAGACCCAATCTTTCAACACAATCAACAACAATAAAACAATGAGTAACACCGGTATCAATAATAGTAATTAAAGGAGTACTATTAATGAAACATGTACGGGATCCATAGTACTCTACGGGATCCACTCTCGTTATTCTAATCCAAGGGCGTGTTCAATATAATGCTTAAGCATTATAAACTAAGAGGGAATGCACGCAAAGAAAACTAGGGGAAAAGAAGGAAGTATTTACAATTTTCGCTCGGCTGAGCCCCGTGACCAGATGCCTACGTATCCCCTTTAAGGAATCAGAGTGTCGTAGTTCTGATCATATATTTTGTTTGTTTGTATTTTTTAAATGAACAATGTTGCATTCGATCATTCCACCGCTACTCGACCTTTGGAGACTTATAACCTGTAGTGGAAAGGAGCTAACATGCTCTTAGAAGAGAAAAGCCAAATGGAGAAAAGAAATGGATTGGTTGGTATTTTTTACCATGAAAATAATTTTTGTATGCTTAACATTCCTTACATATTTGCCAAGAAAAATAAGTTTTAGTTTTAAATGCAATTATGCAAAATTGGGAAGAGAAAAAAAAACTCAGGGAGACTAACCTAATGTTATCATACAATCAGAGATCCTATCTAAGTTAGCATGCAAAAGAAAGTCTAATAAACTATCCTATAGGGAACATACAATAAGAGCGAAGTCGTGATCTCAATCTCTAAATTGAGTGACTCATCGATCAACAGAAAATAAAGGGAAGCGATAAAATTCTATAGGGAGCATGCACTGAGAGCGAAGTCGTGATCTCAATTTCTAAATTGAGTGACTCATCGATGAACAACAAAGGAAACAAACACAAGCACAACACATATAAGAAATGAAGTGCAGAATGCCTGCTATAGGTCTTTAAACAACGACTTCGAGCCCACGCTCTTTATTTCCTACTTCTCATGATATCTAGCAAGCGATAAATGCGCAAAAAAATAAATTGGAAGCAGTGTAATACCAAACGAACAATAAAGTCCGCAAAAAGCGCAACCAAAGAAAAGAGACCTGGAATACTTCACGCAAGCTAGCATCAACAAACAAACAGTCAGAGATCGAATATTTGGAATAGGTGTCGAAAATTCATCGATGTGAAAATAAATCACAATCGGAATCCAAACGCATCCCATATCAAATTATGGTTCTGCATAAGATTCAACTCAACATGCAAAGGTGAATCACAAGTCACAAGTAATCGGAAAATTAGGAATTAATTTTCTAAAAAAATCAAATGAGAAATCTAACAAATTTTTATTGATTTTTGTAGTTTATTACCCTAAAAAAACAAGAGGCATTCTTAAAATCTATATTTTTTTATTGTTTTATTATACGTATTTTACTAATATTTTTATTATTAAAGGAATTTAAACTAAAGTAAAACAAAATCTCAAAAAAAGCATAGGAAATAGAAATAATCAGGGGGGTGTTGAACCAAATTCATGGTACTACATGCAAATAAATTGATAATAAGCCCAATCTAAATAGACCCATAAGAAGTTTTTTTTTCATAAGCTAAACAAATTCCAAAAATGGGCCTAGAGGATAGTGTATATGCGCAGAAGCACCAACATATCAGCCAAACTTAGATTCTAAGTCCCTATACTGATTATTCTATTATTATTTTCTGATTATATTGAATAAAAAATGGTAATGAAAAGAAAATATGAGTGAACACAGAATGTTGCATTTTTGATACATGGAGGCTAGGGTTCAATTAGGGGTGTCGCTTCAACTTCAACGAAGAATCTCCCTTCTTCTTCAACAGATGATGCTGAATTCAATCTCCGTGATGACTCACCCTTCTATCCTCTGCCGTGGTTAAGCGCATCCCCACCTTGTGTCACCGTGAAACACCTAGTCCCAACCTTATCTCAATCCTTGGTGCGATTTCCGGTAAGGAAGGTCGCCGCGAGCGCCACTGTCAAATGACCGCAAAACTTAAATCGCCTACACCAATCCCTTCGTATTGACGCCCTTAATATGAATCTACTAGTTTTTTTATTCATCTCTCTCTTTTTTTTATAACCTGCCGAAACCCTAAGGATTGCTCTCAAGATTCACAACGATAATGCCATCTCAATCCTGATCGTCCTTGTTTACTGATTTACAATGAAGAATAGGAAAATCAATGGTAACAGGAGTGGATTTTGAAGTTCAGTATGGCTTACCTACCAGAGAACTCCGGTGATTCTTCAGATGCAGCGAGGATGATGATGATTGAAGATTCAGATAGATATGGTGACGAAGACTGAATGAAGTAGTTGCATATGAGAAGTGCAGAACAGTAAAGAGAACTTGAAGATTTGCATAAAATCATAGAGGGCTTATAGGTTGTGATTCAGGAAGAGGAATTCGTTGAAAATTGAAGAACAACGATAATGAATATGAAGAGAGACCGATGAGAGCAAGACTGAACTCTTAAATTTTATCAGCGGTGGTTTTCCTCAGTGCTCAAGAACAATGAAGACATTTTGTGAAGGATGCCTAGAATGATGAAGGATTTAGAAGTATGATGAAGATGAAGATTAGAGGTGGTTGAAGTTGAACTTTTAATGATGATGATTAAAACCAGGATCTTGTAGAAGAAGAGAGAGAGTGAAGGAATTTTATGTTACGGAGATTTTCTGGTGGTGATGAGGGGGCAGAGAATCATGAAGGTGATGAAGCAGGTTGAAGATGTAGAGATTGAATGAAGATTCAGGATGAAAGGAAAGAGAATGGAGGTTGAAATAAAGTAGAAAAAATGGAGGTTGAAAGTGAAAATCTCAGGTCTTCTCACCGAATTATAGAGAATTCAGAGGTGAGTTCCTTTTGGAATTTTTTCTGCTTTCTCTTCTCCCCCCCCCCCCCCCCCCCCCTTTTCATTCTGTTGTTATATCATTCTTTTCTTTAGAAGTTTGTTAGAAATTTAGTTAAGAAGTTAAAAAATTATGTTAGAAAAAATTGTTAGATGGTTGGAAGTTAGTTATCTCTATTTAGAATACAGTTAGTACTGTTAGTTGGTTAGTTAGAGAGTAGAAATGAACTTTATTATAAAGTTTGCAAGTCTGTTGAAGCTGTTAGAACCTTCTGATATATTTTTTTTGGATAGGCTAAGCCGAGAATTAGACTTGAATCTTATTCTATTTTCACGTTTCCTGATTTTTCTGAGTTTTAAACTCTTTTAGTAATCTTTTTTTGTTATCGAACTACTGCACACTAAAAAGCTGTTATGAAACTGGTATCATTTAATTATGAACAGGTTTCCTCCGATTTAACTGTTTGGGAAACTGATGCAGGGGCCTATTTTGCGAGGACCGACTTCAAATGGCCTTCTCTAAACTTGTTTATCAGATGAACTGCACTTTGGTTATTATTAGCAAGTCAGGGTAAAGGCTTGAGGCTATTATAAAACAATCGCCAAAGTCTTTTAGAATTTGTACTCGATTGGTTTTGTGGGTGACAAACAAATACAGTTCAAATGTATGCGCGCTTGGATCTATAGTGAACTATGTGGACTGTAAGGGCTTGAATTCTTTATATTCTTTTACATTAAATAACTATTCTTCTGAATTTTGAACATGGTTTAAGTCGAATTGGCACTTACTTGAAGTGAGTTTATGAATTGAGTCACAAACTTGAATTTATTCATGCCTGTTTTGTGTCTGAGCTGCACAGATTCTGATTATATTACAGGGTTTTGAAACAGGGTAAGGTTAATCACTTTGCATCAGAATTGGTTTACCATGGGATGCAGGGTCCGTTTGTGATGTCATTACTTTTGAATTGTACAGTGAATGCTGAGATGGGAGTTGTTTACATTAGGCTCTTACTCATACTATTCCTACTGGCATCCAAAGGTATTCTCTCTAACGTAAGTCATGTAAGGAAAACCATCCTCATACTTATGTTCTTGGTAAAGAGCAGACATCAAAGTAGCGGTTGGATGTTGTCAACGAAACAAAGAAAACCTTCTCTGTATTGAGCTTAATTTTTTTGCAGGTTACATAAACAAATGGACCAACAGACCAGTCAGTTGGAACAAGGTACCTCTTGTTACCCATGTCTATAATATCACTTTTTCGGCTTTCTCTGCAATCACAGGTACTCTATCAGGAGGCTTATCTCTAATGCGAATAGATTCAACCTGCCTTCTCTCAAAAGGGTGTTAAGTCTTGAAGGAAGCTTTAGGCATGACTACATTGGAAAAGCGAGAACTCTCAGTAAAGAATTGATGATTGAAGTAAAGATGGAAACCTGACCATGAATGTTGAATGGTTGAAGATTAGGATAGGTTTACGTTTGTGTAATTTGTGAAATGTAACTTTTATGTTCAGAGTAAAATTTGTGGGACTCTCTTATTTGTGTAAGGCTTAATATCTCTTGTAATGAAAGTAATTGAAACAAGTGCAGTAACACATATCATCACTTCCATTCCTTTTTTTTTGAAGAATCTTGAATGAATTATCACATTTATTTAAAGTTTGAATCTTTGAATAACCTTTGAACATAACCAATAGTCCCAAGATATTCCATTCTTGCCATGTTATCCTTGAGTATTCCTTCTCTTTTTTTTGCGGTATTCTCAAGACTTTAACCCCTTGGCCTCATAAACACCCATAAATAAATGGCTAATCCTTGCAATATGGAATCCATACCCTTTTGAATGGACCTTGGTCCAAGAGTCTTGCACTAATGATAATGGATGAATAAATCTTGATTCTTAAATGATGCTTGAACGAATCTCAAGACATCACTTGAATCCAATTTTAGTTCTTAATTCAGATCCAAACCAATTTTCACTACAAGCAACAAACAATGGACACACTGTTAAAGGCCTTTGTAATTCGAGTTTTTTATGGTCCACTAGATTAGATTTTGAATTCAGATTATACTTTAAATTTGTTACCCATACGCATGAATTCTATTCCACAATAATGAACCCATTCTCTACTTCACTCTTCAAATCCAAGTCAATCTAGCAAATAATCAAGAAGTTGGAGAGATAACAAGGCCTTGATTACAAATAACCCCTAAACTCCCACCATGTTGTATTACTCTCTCTTTAACTAACAAAAATCTCGATGAAAATCCAAAGAAGCGCTTACTTATCTGACAAGTGTTATCAGAAAAAGATAACCATAACCCTAAATGACAAGCGCTTATCAGATAAGCGCTTACTTATCAAAAGGCGACAATGATGATCCTTGTAGCCTTGAGGATAAAGCCTAGCATGACAAACCTTTGCTGAAGATCTAATACCAAGCTCAAATATAACATAGGAGAAACCCTAATTCTTAACCTTTGACGACCATTGCTGAAGAAATGGCCCTGTATCTTGAGGAACTCTACTAGCGAAGACGTCTATGTTGCTTGAGATCCGAAGCCCTAATCTCGTACCAAGAATGATGAGAGCTCCAGTTGAATCAATTTGAAGAATGTTACGACCTTAGTCCACAAAGAACAACCCTAATGCCAAACTCTTCGATCCTGTAACCACGAGACCAATGCTATGTGTGAGATGTACAAATTATGATGAGGGATCTTAGGGGAAAAATTGGGGTATAACAGCTGCCTTTATTTAAGTGTCTTCATTACAGAGATATGAAGGTTAAAATCTCTGTTTCGACGCGATTGAAGATACTTAAATACAAAACAAGCCCTATTTTTGGCCCTAAGATGCCATGTAATGCTTATGACTATGAATATAAACTTCACATAGGTGAACAAGACGCCACTGGAGAAGTGAAAATAAAATCAACAGACTTAACAAAGAGAAGTCAAACTAGGAAAATAAATCTCTAGGGAACAACATAACTCTGGGAAAAGACATCTGAATCTATTGGAGACTAACTGGCTCTGCTGGGGAAAAGAAAACTCAACTTTAATGGGGTAAGATCCAGAGAGGAGACAAAATAACATAAACTCAAAAACTGAGGGAAAAGTAATGGATGACAACAATTAACTGATAGTTGTGAACTATCCACTCATGGAGGAGATAGAAAAAAGAGAGTAACATCAACACAAGGGATCGGCAACCGCTAACCAGAAAAGCGAAAACAGGAACAATGAAGAGAATACCGGCTCAGAGACGACGATAACCATTAACACCTAGATTAGTAAGTGAATGCTTGGTATCAGTGCTTATGCATGGTAATCAAAGATTTGCAATTAGCACTTATGGCTGGAAAAAACTCGACTCAATCGGAGTAAGGTTCGACGAGGAGAAAGAGATCAATCTTGCCTAAGAATGGAAACGAACTACCCACTCAAGAATGAAGGTAGAAAAAAAACATAGCACAATACTGACTTTTATTAAAGGTAAAGAAACAGAAGATACACCGACGTTTACTGAAGGTGGAGAAAAGAGAATGCACCAGCTTTTACTGAAGGTGATGTCTCAAAGAGCAATAACGAACTTCCCAAAATCCTGGCGTTCTACCTAGAACGAGTAAAAATACAAGCTATCTCAAATAAAGAGACTACCACTTTTAAAGATTTCACAACAAACTTCTCTTGTGAAACTTACTCGAAGAGATACCATTTGATGGAGAATCAAATAAACTTCCCCTCGATGCTGACTATAAGCCACAAACTGGTCTTAGTTTCTTCTTTAACCAAGATGTTTCACCTGGAAAGGGTAAAAATACAAGCTGTCTCAAATAAAGAGACTACCACTTGTAAAGATTTCACAACAAACTTTTCTTGCGAAACTTCCTCGAAGAGATACAATTTGATGGAGAAACAGATAAACTTCCCCTCGATCCTGACTATACGCCACGAACTGGTCTCAGTTTTTTTTTAACCAAGATGTTTCACCTGGAAAGGGTAAAAATACAAGCAATCTCAAATAAAGAGACTACCACTTGTAAAGATTTCATAACAAACTTCTCTTGCGAAACTTCCTCGAAGAGATACTATTTGATGGAGAATCAGATAAACTTCCCCTCGATGCTGACTATACGCCACGAACTGGTCTCAGTTTCTTCTTTAACCAAGATGTTTCACCTGGAAAGGGAAAAAATACAAGCTATCTCAAATAAATATACTAACACTTGTAAAGATTTCACAACAAACTTCTCTTGCGAAACTTCCTCGAAGAGATACCATTTGATGGAGAATCAGATAAACTTCCCCTCGATCCTGACTATACGCCACGAACTGGTCTCAGTTTCTTCTTTAACCAAGATGTTTCACCAGGAAAGGGTAAAAATACAAGCTATCTCAAATAAAGAGACTACCACTTGTAAAGATTTCACAACAAACTTCTCTTGCGAAACTTCCTCGAAGAGATACCATTTGATGGAGAATCAGATAAACTTCCCCTCGATGCTGACTATACGCCATGAACTGGTCTCAGTTTCTTCTTTAACCAAGATGTTTCACCTGGAAAGGGTAAAAATACAAGCTATCTCAAATAAATATACTACCTCTTGTAAAGATTTCACAACAAACTTCTCTTGCGAAACTTCCTCAAAGAGATACCGTTTGATGGAGAATCAGATAAACCTCCCCTCAATCCTGACTATACGCCACGAACTGGTCTCAGTTTCTTCTTTAACCAAGATGTTTCACCAGGAAAGGGTAAAAATACAAGTTATCTCAAATAAAGAGACTACCACTTGTAAAGATTTCACAATATACTTCTCTTGCGAAACTTCCTCGAAGAGATACCATTTGATGGAGAATCAGATATACTTCCCCTCGATGCTGACTATACGCCACGAACTGGTCTCAGTTTCTTCTTTAACCAAGATGTTTCACCTGGAAAGGGTAAAAATACAAGCTATCTCAAATAAAGAGACTACCACTTTTAAAGATTTCACAACAAACTTCTCTTGCGGAACTTCCTCCAAGAGATACCGTTTGATGGAGAATCAGATAAACTTCCCCTCGATCCTGACTATGAGCCACGAACTGGTGTTAGTTTCTTCTTTAACCAAGATGTTTCACGTGGAAAGGGTAAAAATACAAGCTATCTCAAATAAAGAGACTACCACTTGTAAATATTTGAAAACAAACTTATCTTGTGAAACTTCCTCGAAGAGATACCATTTGATGGAGAATCAGATAAACTCCCCCTTGATGCAGACTATACGCCACGATCTAGTCTCAGTTTCTTCTTTAACCAAGATGTTTCACCCGGAAAGGGTAAAAATACAAGCTATCTAAAATAAAGAGACTACCACTTGTAAAGATTTCACAACAAACTTCTCTTGCGAAACTTTATCGAAGAGATACCATTTGATGGAGAATCAGATAAACTTCCCCTCGATCCTGACTATACGCCACGAACTGGTCTCAATTTCTTCTTTAACCAAGATGTTTCACCTGGAAAGGGTAAAAATACAAGCTATCTCAAATAAAGAGACTACCACTTGTAAAGATTTCACAACAAACTTCTCTTGCGAAACTTCCTCGAAGAGATACCATTTGATGGAGAATCAGATAAACTTCCCCTCGATCCTGACTATAAGCCACGAACTGGTCTCAGTTTCTTCTTTAACCAAGATGTTTCACCTGGAAAGGGTAAAAATACAAGCTGTAAGAATCTTTCAACAAACTATCTTTATCATTGAGTTACAACCAAACTCAACAACAAACTATCTCCCATAATGACGAGACTACCATTCATTGGAGTAACAATTTTTCATCAACAAACTATCTCCCATAATGACGAGACTACCATTCATCGGAATATAGATCTCAATAATGAACTACCTCCCATAATGACGAGGCTACCATTCATTGAAAAAAACATCTTCTCTGGCATTAACAGACTTACTGGGAAGAACAGGTTGCTCAAATAAAGAGAACTGCCGCTTGCTTATTAAGAAGGAATTGTAATAAGATTCGCGGGAAATGAAGCTTGATTTCCTGGGGAAATACTAATACATTCCTTTTGAGGAGAAAAAAGTCTTTGCGTGCAAAATAAATGCACATTCTCAAACCAAAGCTCAGAGCCTGATGAGAAATAAACTCAAAAGGCGATCACACTCCATCCACGTGATGAACTGAATAGGAAGGCTGGAGCAAAATTCTTCCACGAGGGATAACTCTGCGGGGAAATTGAAAGGATATATACTTTCTATTTAAAGTTGACAACTCTATTGGAGAGAGAATAACATAACTCTGCAAAGAGGATAATATACTGGCAAAACATCAACAAATGAAAATGAGTAATGAATTTTAAATTCATCTATGCATGATGTGTATGAATGTATAAATGCTTATCGTATGTGCTGACAAAATAACCAAAAT